AATGGTCTTAATTCAGCCGCTCTCCGTTACGTTTCTTCGCGCAGATCGAATCACCGTCAATTTTCACTCGATGACAGTTGCGTCAAGATAGCATCGAAAAAACTTTGTTCTCTGGCGGCTATTTTTTTCTTTGTTCATTGCATACACATACATGTTTCAGTACGAGAGAAGCTGGGTTAGAATGAATGCTAGGAAAAGGTCGTTTGGGAAAGCTTGTAGCATCAGTTTTAGCTTGACTATTTAGACGTGTAAGACTAAGGAAGCTGTTGTAAAATCTTTCAAAAAATTATTTATTCATGAACACTGTCTAATCATTCATATCGTGGGACTACCCGTTGGGCCTAATTTTGCTAGTGTCCAGGCCGACCGCGTCGTAACGAACTTTTGACTGCACAGGATTTGACAGACGCGCATTCTAATGGCGTTGAAATGGCGGTCAATTTGAGATTTTCGCTGGGCTGGCTGCTCGACAACCCAACTTTTGTGGGATTTGCTTTGGTGAACTTGTAGGGAAACTATTTGGCCTTCGTGCTACCAAGTTTCGATTCAAGGGGAAGTATTTAAGTGTGTTTTTCGAACGATTTGGCGAGCGTGTGTGAGACAGAGCTTTCTGACCCTCCCTTTTATTTGGTAGTGCTAGGACTTTAAGCTGAAACACAGGAAAACGGCCTCAAATCGCGACAAGAACAGCACAGACTACACTTTATGAAGGTAAGACTTTATTTCTTTCATTATTTCACACAACTTTATATTTACGGAGCTCAAAAGCAAGTCCAACTAAACCACTATACAAACTCTACAATCTACAATAATCCACTGTGAAAGAGCCTGTGACAGAGCCTGGGCCGCCTGTGTTCTAAGTCACAGGTATCAGATTTGGCGGAAAACTCATAGTTTTTCAGTCAACATGGCGTTCGAGCTGCCATCCTTTGGTTTGCTTGGGCTTCCTACAATTGGAAAGCAACGTTCAGTTTTGGACGGCTGTAAGCCTGTCTTTGCTTTGCCTAGCAAGACAATTTTCGGGAGCAGAGCGCCCAAAGAAATTGTCTGCGAACCTTGTTTCGTTTCGTTTCGTTTCGCAAAATACCATAAGCCGGCCGTTATTGCTATTTTGCGAAACAAGGCATCTAGCGAGAACAGTTTTGGTAGAGAGGGAATAATTTCTTGTCGCCTCTGTATGCCTGTCTTTGCTTTATCTAACAAGACAATTTTCGGGAGCAGAGCGCCTAAAGAAATTGTCTGAGAACCTTGTTTCGTTTTGTTTCGTTTCGTTTCGTTTCGCTTTATTTCGTTTCGTTTCGTTTCGTTTCGCAAATGACCGTAAGCCCTTCTTTTGTTCGAAGTTGTTGAGAAATATGATGGTGCCGTGGTTAAAATTTTTCAATGAATAATATTAAGTCATAGCGTGGCAGCACCCAAATTATTCGGGTGAATTAAGAAAACCGTGAACACTTATATTCCTGAGTTATTTTTAACGATCTTGTTTGAAAAGAATGCAAGATATTGGTGAAACTTGAGAAATATTTGGTATTATTGAGTTGAGTGAAACAAATATTCCATACATCAGGATGCTAAAATGAAATGAAATGCCCTTCTGTTTGTAAATACAGTAACTGTTCGTACCTGTGAGGACCGTGGAGCTGATGTTCTCCGGCCCGGTCAAACCACGCTCAAAAGCTGAGAAATGCAGCTACTTACTTATCTGGGTCGGTCAGAAACTGGACGAGATACCTTCAATACCTGGAGCGATATATCCGATGAAGACAAGAATAACCTACAAACTTACTACGATCGCTTTGAAAACGATCGCTTCGAAACTCACGTCAACCCGAGGGCAAATCCAGACAAATTCATTACAGGACTTCGCATCCTAGCTCAGGATTGCGACTTGATAGGTGAGGATGTGAGGTGTTTAAACTCCCACTCTCTCGTGAACTCTGTGAACTCTCAACTGGTATACTGCGGACTGTTCATCTTCCGAGCAATCAAGCCATCACACTGCCTGTCCGTTATACAACACGTAGTAGTAATCCCCCGCAGAGGCTGGACTTATAACTCAAGTTCTGACCTAAGTGAAGCTAAAGAACTATCGCGAACAGTCCGAGAGTCCTGCCGAGATTTGTTATTCCAAAAAGAACAATCTTCAACTTTGAGATTATACTTAAATCCCCATTCAATCTCTC